TGGCACACGCCTGTAATCCCAGCACTCAGGAGGCTAAGGCAGGAGAATGGCTGCAAGTTTGAGGCCAGCCTGGAATACATAATGAGTTCTAGGCCATCCTGAACTACATACCAAGACCTTGTCTTAAAACAAAAAGAAATTGTAAGAAGTTATAGTGTACCATTTTACAATCCACAGTGAATTAATGAAGTTATTAAAAATATATTATTAAACATTAGAAATTAGATAAGTAGACATTATATGCTTATTGTCAGAAGTGCATAATGCCACCTATGCAATATTCTCGCCAAAATATTGAACCTGAATCTGATCAAGCCTCTAAATCTACCATTTTACAGGAAATACAAGGGACTAGGGAACATATTACAGAACACCACGTGATGAACTCTTCAAAATTAAGGTTATGAAAAACTAGAGAAATAATCTGGTCTCTGACAAACACAAAGTCCACCAAAAAAATACTCACAGAGGCTTTATTTGTAATTGTTAAAAACTGAATATTATCTCCCCCTGAACTTTTGCAGGAGTTAAATTCCCAGTACTTAATAGCATTAGGAAGGCAGAAACTTCATCTGAGCATGGTGCTTAGAGTTGGGGCATTTGGAAAGTGATTAGATTTGATTATGGTGGAGCCTCCACCCCCCTGTAATTGAATCCTGATGGCTTTATAAGGGGGTGAGAAGCCAGACACAGACATACATAACTTCTGTCTCTTGCTGTGTGATGTCATGTGCCACCCTGGGACTCTGCCAACAAGAAAACTCACCAGAACTGAGCCAATGCCAGCATTATGTCCTTGAACCTCCAAAAATATGAGTTTAAAAAAACCTCTTTTTCAATAGAAAGGCTGCTTCAAATTTATCATTATGGTAGAGAAAGCTTAACTAAAATACCACTCTAACGTCCTTCAGCAGGTAAATGGATAAATACATCATGGTATACTCATGGAATCCTACTCAGCATTGAAAAATATGCACTGTGTATACGTGAAATAATATGCATGAATCTCAATTAAGAAGCTAGACCAAAAATCAGTATATGTTGTATGATTCTGTTTATATGAAATATTAAAAAACACAAACTAATTTATAAAGACAGAAAGCAGATCCATGGTTGCCCAGAAAGATGGTGATTACAATGGGACATGAGGAAACTTTTGGAGGTTATAGATGTGTCCATCATCTTGACTGTGTTGTTGCTTGCATGATTATACACATTTGTAAAAATTTATCAAATTGTGCACCTTAAATATGTGCAGTTTATCACTTATCAAATTGTATACCTTCAATATGTACAATTTGTCATATGTCAGTTATACCTTCGAGTTTTTATTTAATCCTAGGAATAAACTTAAGAAGGAATGTATGAGACCTAAATGAGGAAAATCTTAAATGCTTATAAAAAACATAAAATAAGGACCGAGGGTTTAGCTCAGTGGTTCTGGCACCTGCCTCGCAAGTGCAAGGTCCCGAGTTCAATCCTCAGTAACCACCCCCAAAAAAAGATCCTGCCTCAAAAAACATAAAATAGTTATGAACCAATGGAGAAACTGAATTTACTCTTTGATGAGGACTCTTGATTTCATAAATTTGGCACAACAGAAATACAATGGGGTAGGGCTGGGGATTTAGCTCAGTAGTTTTGCCGCCTGCTACGCAAGCCCAAGGACCAGAGTTCAATCCCCGGTATGAAGCAAAAAAAAAAAACATGAGGTATTGATTCACTTATTTATTTGAAATTAGAAAATGTTTCCAAAGTTATTCTAGGAAAATGAAACATGAAAATATCCAGGATTTTCGTGAATAGAAGAGTAGCATTGGCCCAGGAATAGACAACTCAGTGGAAGAAAATAGAGCACAGAAATAAACTAACTCAAAGATAGATAGGAATCTGGGATATGATAAAGGTGCTATTTCAGATCGGTGGGAAGAGGATGATTTAATAATAAAAATTGTCTAAACCTAATTATTGATAAGCGGAGGAGTTGTCTCTCCCCTCCACCTAAACAGTTCTAAAGAAATCAAAAATTTTAATGTAAAAATAAAACCATCAAAGTACAAAAATAAAACATGGATGAACATTTTCCTATCTATGGATTGAGAGAAAAGCCTTTAGTAAATTTGGAGCAAAGCCAGGCTTGGTAGCACATGCCTGTAATTACAACACTCTGGGATGTTAAGGCAAAAAGATCTCAAGTTCCAATTTAACAGCTTAGCAAGACCTTGTCTTAAAAAAATAAAAAACAGGCTGAGGATGTAGCTCAGTGCAAAGACCCTGGAATCCTCAGTATTGGGAGGGAAAAAAGGTTAAGAGCAAAATCTAAAGGTATAGTAGGAAAATTATCAATTTAACCACACTGAAGATTTAAAACTTCTGTAATAGAAAAATTTTAAAAAATAAGTTATAAACTGTGAAAAACATGTACAATACATATGAACAACAAAAAGACAATTTCCTTGGATTACAAAGAACTCTTTATACATCAGTAAGATAAATGACCCAATAAACTGGACAAAACAAATGAGCAAGTCAGATAAAAAATAGTCATCAAGCATGCAAAAAAGATACTGAAGCTTATTAAATTAAAATAAATGTGAATCAAAACATTATTTTAGTTTTCTATTGCTGAATAACAAATCACTCCAAAGCTTAGCGATGTAAAAACAACACTAAATATTTATTATCTCTAACAAGTTTTGTGCATTGGGAATTCAGAAGTTGTTAAGCTGGGAAGTTTTGGTTTGGGGGTCTCGCATGATGTTGCAGTCAGGATTTTAACTGGGGTTACAGTCATCCCAAGGCTCGCCAGAGACCAGGGAGCTGTTTCCAGAGCGCCAGACACTTACACAGCTGGCAGGCTGGTGCTGGCTATTGGCAAAATGCTTCTGTTCCTACCTGGGCCTTTCCACAGAGCTGTTTGAGCATCCTCACAGCAAGCCATGGTGACTCACTCCCTCTTAGCAACCAGTCTGAGAAGAAGGTAGACACTACAATGACATCTGCAATATAACCCTGGCAGTCACATACCACTTCCACCACATTCTGTTGGTCACACTGAGCGGGCTTCATGGGAACGAAACCTGTTCAGTCACACAGGGCCCTGCTTAAAGCTCTGCTCTTGCTATTTTAATATTACTTATAATTTTATCTTTAAGCTTTTGTTTGTATGTGAATCCAATGGAGAAATAGGGTGTTTGTGTGAGCAGAACAGACACATACAACATGTGCATGTTCTTTGCCACCCCACTGGTATATAACATTACCAATGCACACAATTCTGGTGTGAGTTCAGTGAGACTCAAAGTGAACAAAAGCTAAGTGCATTTTGGAAGAAACCAAGGTGTAGTATATGTAGGTATGAAAAAATGAAATAAAAAGTTTATTGTGTGCATCATTTAGTTCTGGTGAGAACAAAATATATATATATGCATGTATAAGCCATTAAATATGAATTGTGTCATCTTTGGAATTCCATTTGAGTTCTTTTGAGTTCTCTTTTTGTTTGCTTATTTGTTTTTGGTATCGGGGATCGAACTTGGGACCTTGTGCTTGCGAGGCAGGCACCAGAACCACTGAGCTAAATCCCCAACCCCTTGAGTTCTTTTTTTGGTGTTGGGGATTGAAACTAAGGCCTGCTCATGTGAGGCAAGTCTTGCACATGTGAGGCAAGTGCTCTGACCCTAAGCTACATCTCTGGCCCTTAAATACTCTTATGTTTGCATTGAAAACTGACATTGCACAATATAATGATGAAATGTTAAAATCTGTGCTACCATGTTAATTTTTGTTTCTTTAGGATGACAAATAGCAAATAAAAACACCAGCATAAATTGAGAGACTACAAAAGAAAGAGAAAAGCTTTGTTTATAATTCCTTTATTAATAATGTTTTCCTATATTAGGAGATAATGAGATCATCAATTCACATGTTCAAATCATGTTTACTTGATGATCAGAACAAGGCCAAAAACAGAATGTACATGTCACCAGAGCCTCGTCCCAGATTGCCAGGAATCCACTGATTCATTATTAACCAAGACTCTTTTTATAAGATTATTCTTCAGTCTGGTCTACCATATTGCTTTGACATCAAAGTACTTCATGTGTCTTTGTATGTCCCTGCACTTAAAAACTGGGCACAGCATGCCTTCAGCATTTTCCTAGGAAGCAGATCTAGCACACCTATCTAAAAAGAAACTCTTAGAGACTCCTTCTTTTAATTTTGAAGTGATCAAAAATCCATTTCCAGTTGGGTTTGTCCCACTAAGCACTAACGCCTTGCTTTAACCAGGGTCAGCCCGGTTCGGGTAACTAACAAAATGCAAACTAGCAGCTCATGAGCCACATGGGTATGGGTATTTTTATTTGTCCCACACAGTTGTCCTTAAATTTTTAATTAATTGTGAAATTTAAAAATAATATTTCAGATAAGAATGGAAATTTCAAGGCTGAAAAATTACAAGCCATAGAAATAGCTGGAGCTCATTCTAGCACACAGTAGCAATCAGTTGGAGCTGAGCATTCCTGGTCCCTTTATATGGGGCAGATGCTCCCAGTTTTCCAGTCCTCACAACTTCTGACTATGACTTGATAAGACCTGGTTTGTTTCAATGTTTTGCAAAGCTTGCCTTGCTGTGCATTTGAGTATAAGCATTTTATTAAGAAACTCATGGAGTTGCCGCTGCGGCCCGCACGGCGCGGGCGGGGGGGGTGGGGGGGGGGGTGCGCGGGTCACATGGTCGCGGTGCCCTCCCCCGTCAGCCTCCCTCGCCGCCGCGGTGCTGGCTGCAGGAAGCCGCCGCGCCGCCGCTTTTGTTGTCGGGGTCCCCGCGAAGAGCGCCGCGCGCCCGGCCGCTGCCGCCTTCTCCCTGCAGCCCGCGCCAGGCTGCGGGGCCTGGGTCCCGCCCCGCCCATGAGCGCGCTCCGCGACCACCGCCGTCTCTGGCCCGGGGCGGCGGGCGCTGAGGCGGGCAGCGGGCGGCCGCGGCCCCGGCCCCTCCCAGAGGGCACCATGGAGGTGAATGCGGGAGGTGTGATTGCCTATATCAGCTCTTCCAGCTCAGCCTCTAGCCCTGCCTCTTTGCCACAGTGAGGGTTCTGAAAACAGTTTTCAGTCCTCCTCCTCTTCTGCTCCATCTTCTCCAAATAGCTCTAATTCTGATGTCAATGGTAATCACAAGAATGGTGATCTCTCCAATATAGAAGGCATCCTGAAGAATGATCGAGTAGATTGTTCTATGAAGACAAGCAAGTCAAGTGCTCCTGGGATGATAAAGAGTCATAGTGGTGTGACAAAATTCAGTGGCATGGTCCTACTGTGTAAAGTCTGTGGGGATGTGGCGTCAGGATTCCACTGTGGAGTTAATGCTTGTGAAGGCTGTAAGGGTTTCTTTCGGAGAAGTACTCAGCAAAACATCCAGTACAAGAAGTGCCTGAAGAACGAAAACTGTTCCATAATGAGGATGAATCGGAACAGGTGTCAGGAGTGTCGATTCAAAAAGTGTCTGTCTGTGGGGATGTCAAGAGATGCTGTTCGATTTGGTCGTATTCCTAAGCGTGAGAAACAGAGGATGCTAATTGAAATGCAAAGTGCAATGAAGACCATGATGAACAGCCAGTTTAGTAGTCACTTGCAGAATGATACATTAATTGAACATCATGAACAGACAGCCTTACCTGCCCAAGAACAGCTTCGACCCAAGCCCCAGCTGGAGCAAGAAAACATCAAAAGCTCGCCTTCTTCCTCTTCTGCTTTTGCAAAGGAAGAAGTGATTGGCATGGTGACCAGAGCGCACAAGGATACTTTTATGTATAATCAAGAGCAGCGAGAAAACTCAGCTGAGAGCATGCAGCTCCAGAGGGGAGAACGGATTCCCAAGAACATGGAGCAATATAATTTAAATCATGACCATTGTGGTAATGGGGTGAACAGCTATTTTCCTTGTGAAAGCCAGCAACATCTCAGTGTCAATGGACAGTACAAAGGGAGGAACATAATGCATTACCCCAATGGGCATGCCATTTGTATGGCAAATGGACATTGTATGAACTTCTCCAGTGCTTATACTCAAAGAGTATGTGATAGAATTCCAATAGATGGATTTTCTCAGAATGAGAACAAGAATAGTTACGTGGGCAACACTGGAGGGAGGATGCATCTGGTTTGTCCAATGAGTAAGTCTCCATATGTGGATCCACATAAATCGGGGCATGAAATCTGGGAAGAATTTTCGATGAGTTTCACACCAGCAGTGAAAGAAGTGGTGGAATTTGCAAAGCATATTCCTGGGTTCAGGGATCTCTCTCAGCACGACCAGGTCAACCTTTTAAAGGCTGGAACTTTTGAGGTTTTGATGGTACGGTTTGCATTATTGTTTGATGCGAAGGAGCGTACGGTCACCTTTTTAAGTGGAAAGAAGTATAGTGTGGATAACTTACACTCAACGGGAGCAGGGGATCTGCTAAACTCTATGTTTGAATTTAGTGAGAAGCTAAATGCCCTCCAGCTGAGTGATGAAGAGATGAGTTTGTTTACAGCAGTTGTCCTGTTATCTGCAGACTGATCTGGGATAGAAAATGTCAACTCTGTGGAGGCTTTGCAGGAAACCCTCATCCATGCACTAAGGACCTTAATAATGAAAAACCATCCAAACGAGGCCTCTGTTTTTACAAAACTACTTCTAAAATTGCCAGATCTTCGATCTTTAAATAATATGCACTCTGAGGAGCTCTTGCCCTTTAAAGTTCACCCTTAAGGCCTTTGTTTATTTGAACATGAACTGATACTAACTGTATATTTTGTGCATTTAGCTTATTTATATGTGTGTATCATACATGGAGAAAGAAAAGACCTTTAAGACAATACAAGATTGTAGGCTATCTCTGTAATCAAGCAATAGCTGTTTGGATTGAGAACTCTACAGCTGTGATTAGATATCGACTGCATCTTCCCAATAGACCAATCAGCTGTGTCATACTTAAACTGGAGAAGTTACACTGAATTATAATCACACTGAATGTTAGACTTTTTCATCTGCCAAAACCAAAAACACAATCCCAAATATAAGACTTTGAAATTAATCCTTTGTGGTAGAAGTACTTTTGAATGTTGGAAGTTTTGGTGTCACCAAAAGACTGGTAATTGGAGATTTGGGGAGCTAGGAGTTCTCCTTGTTTGTATTTTACTCTGCCACTGTTAAACTTAATGATCCTGGGCAATTTACTTGGTTGTGGAAAATGAGAATTTATGGTGTCCCTAATGCCCTGCCTCATGGAGATGCTAAAAATGTCTATAAAAGCATATTTACCTCTTGGGAGATAGGCACTATGTAAATAAGGTAAAAAAATTTTTATTATAATTATTCATCATAATGAATAATAACTTGTTATTTCTGAGCATTTCTGGGAAACCATTTCACAGTCCACATCAATCTATTTAGGGTTCCTTGCATATGTGTGGGGTATCCTGATGATACACACATATTCAGAGTTTATGGATGCATCAAATCCATAGTATGTGTACATAGTATGTATGTGAATAGTTACACATAAATATATTTCTTCACATTATTTTAAACTGTGAAGAACTTTATCATACAATAAACTTAAAACAAGAGGTGTCAAAAGACCCAAATTAGGTGCATTTTACCTGTTGATGATAACATAACCATTGCTTTAAAAATATTAGATGGTAGAATATTAAATTTATCCTCTATTTTTGTTTATTTAAGCAACACTTAAGTTCAACTTTCAAAAAATATGTATTTTAGAGTTCATCTTTGGTAAAATTTTTGGTTCAAGGTACTAGTTTTTTAAAAGTTCATTCAGATTCTTACCTTGTGCTAATAAAGGTTGCA